TGAAATCAGGAGTCTGACACTTAACCAACTGAGCCAGCCAGGATCCCCCCAATTTTTTTTAAGTTTATATGAGAGAGAGAATGTGTGTGTGAAAGTGTGCTCGGGGGAGGGGCAGAGAGAAGGAGAGAGGATCCCAAGCAGAACCCACGAACCGTGAGATCATGACTTGAGCCACAGCCAAGAGTCAGACACTTAACTGACTGAGCCACCCAGAAGCCCCTAGTCAAAATGTTTTTAGAATCCCAACAATAACATGAAGTGGATAGAGGTTGTTTTCATATAGAGGTTTCATTTTCATTATCACCTCCATTTTGTAGGCAAGCGAACTTGGTTATCACTGAACCAAGTTGACATAGACTGTAAAAACTGGCAAATCTGAGATTTGAACCCAACGTTTAGGATGCCAAATTCAAATCTCCAAAATCTCATTTAATGTAATCTAACTAACGTAAATCCCCAACAGAGATATGTGTGTATACATGCACTTCAGTTAGCTAATAGAAGAATATAAGGCCAAAAACCCAAACTGTTTTCTTTTTTTTTTTTTTTTTTTAACCTTTATTTATTATTTTTGGGACAGAGAGAGACAGAGCATGAACGGGGGAGGGGCAGAGAGAGAGGGAGACACAGAATCGGAAACAGGCTCCAGGCTCTGAGCCATCAGCCCAGAGCCCGACGCGGGGCTCGAACTCCCGGACCTCGAGATCGTGACCTGGCTGAAGTCGGACGCTTAACCGACTGCGCCACCCAGGCGCCCCCCAAACTGTTTTCTATAATTCTGGGTTCTGCTCTTGTCTGGTTAATGTTCAGCTCAATTAGATGAACCCTCAGCCCTGCGGACACCTCAGCCAAGAAAAAGAGGTAGTATAACAAGTGGTTAACAGCAAGGGCTTTGGAGTCGGACTGCGGGGGCTCAAACCTTGGTTCCGTCGCTTGCTGTGTTGACTGACAGCAACCAGCCTCCAAAACCCCACTTTCCTTTATCTGTAGGATGGGTTTGCTAACAGTGCCTCTCTTAGAGTTGTAGTGAGGGTTAAAGGAGATATTGTGTATGTAAAGCTCAGCACGCACTAAGTACTCAATAAACAGGGCCAGTTATCATAACAAGGAAGAAAGATGATTGGTTGTTTGGGTTTTTTTTTATCCTGACAGGAATCTATCCTAGATCATTAAAAATTTTCCCCCAGGGGCGCCTGGGTGGCTCAGCCAGTTAAGCGGCCGACTCCAGTTCAGGTCATGATCTTGCAGTTCGTGAGTTCGAGCCCCGAGTCGGGCTCTGTGCTGACAGCTCAGAGCCTGGAGCCTGTTTCAGATTCTGTGTCTCCCTCTCTCTGACCCTCCCCCATTCATGCTCTGTCTCTCTCTGTCTCAAAAATAAAAAACGTGGGGCGCCTGGGTGGCGCAGTCGGTTAAGCGTCCGACTTCAGCCGGGTCACGATCTCGCGGTCTGTGAGTTCGAGCCCCGCGTCGGGCTCTGGGCTGATGGCTTGGAGCCTGGAGCCTGTTTCCGAGTCTGTGTCTCCCTCTCTCTCTGCCCCTCCCCCGTTCATGCTCTGTCTCTCTCTGTCCCAAATAAATAAATAAAAACGTTGAGAAAAAAAAAATTAAAAAAATAAATAAATAAATAAAAACGTTAAAAAAAAATTAAAAAAAAAAAAAAAAGGTAAGGTAGGCTAAATTGAAAAAAAAAAAAAAAATTTTCCCCCAGGACCAGGAAACCTAGTTTTTCAGACCACTGTGTCCTGAGGGAACCTACACGGAAGTCAGAATTCCTGGGTTTCAGTCCTGGCTCTACCATTCCCAAGTATACGACCTTGGACAATGGCAGGGTCCAAACTGGAAGGTATTTAAATGGCTACCCAGTTCTGGTTTTTTCCTACATAAACAGGTCATGCATAGGCAAAACGCCCTCCTAGCACAGATCCCTGCCTGTGACAAATTTTTAGTAAATGATATCTATTATTATCATCTTCACTAATTAAATGCAAATAATAATCCCTGACCTGCGTATCACTGTGTTTTGTGGTAAAGATCAAAAGACAAAAAAGATGTGAAGGTGTTTTGTTAAACAGAAGCCTTGGCGTAGGGATGAGGAATTATTGTTACTGTTAGGTTTTTGTTTTGACTCTGTTAGTAAACTGAGGCATTCCTGCGAATAAACAAGTAACGTTCAACTTCTGTTGTTTTATTTTAGAAAATATTGTTGTTTATCATCACACTCTACAAACTTTACAAGAAGAGCGCAGATTTTTTTCAGGCTTTGCTGGTCAACCCAGAAGGGAACGCTCTCCCAGGTCAAGACAATAACTTCTTCCTGTCCTTGGGTCTGCAAGAGAGAATTTTGAAAAAACTTCAGACGGTGGAAAACAAAGTGAAGGACCTGGAGGGGATGATCATTTCCCACAAACCTGCCACAAAGAGGGATTGCTCCTCTGAGCCCTACTGCAGCTGCTCTGACTGCCAGAGTCCCTTGCCCGCATCAGGATTTACTTCCACATCTGAAATGTGACGGACTCCAATCTCTTCCAGAAAAGCACTGTTTTTTCCCTCATGTGTGTGGTGGTGTATCAATAAAGATAGAGAACTATATTGAAATTACCCTGCAAGGACGGGCTCTCTATTCACTAGGGCCCAGCTTCTACTGACGTGTGCGGTGGGGTAATGTGGGGTATAGTCGTCGTTAAAAATGTCTCTGAGATACTGGTGTCACTTGGTAGGCTGGAGACCATAAACAGGCATATTGCGACAAGGATGACCAAACCGGAATATGTGGGATGGGAAAAGAAGGGAAAGTGGGTCAGGGATGCAACCTTGGGTTCCACGCTGAAGAGGTTGGATTGGATATGATAAAAACAGCAAGAAAGTGCTGTTGAAGGGCAATGGTGTGGACTGTCCTGTAGAGGTAGGCTGGCTCTTGTGCTGGTCTTTGGTCTAAAGGTAAATAATGTGGCCTGGAAATCTGTTCATTAATTACTCAGAGGTGGACAAGGGTGGGGTGGACATAAAGGACACTATAATTTTATCCAACTTTTATTGATACTTAATCTGGGCTAAGCATTATAACCCTTGGGAATCTGTCCTGAGTGCTTCAGGAGCACCCAGTTTGGCTGGTTGGGCAGTTAATTTCAGAACAAGGAGTTATATGTGATACAGTGGGGTTATACCAACTTGAACTTAGCTGAATTCTCCTATGTGAATCCCAGCTAGGCAGGGAGGGAAGGAGGCAACTACCTGCCATTTCACTTGATGGGTGTGCCCCCCCCCCATAGGAAGGAGGGCCCACGGAGAGAGGGATGGTAGTAAATCATCCCCTCAGTGGGTGGGACTCAGATTCCCCAAGCCTTATAGTGTGTGCATTTTTGCCACAATAAATGTGATTACAGTCATTGAAATACTTTGCAACTCTCTGCCACCCAAATGAAATACTTGGGCAAAGAAAGCAGCAGTGATTTATGGCCATCCTGGAGAAAAACTGGCTGTGCTGTTCAACAGGATACGATATAACAATCTCCCAAGCTGGCATCTTCCTAAGGGATTTCCAAGGATAATTTTGATCATAAGTTTTTTCCAGTGCACTGGCATTGAAATGCAACCTCTGTAAGATGAGACCTCATGGCATAGTGTACTCAGTGTAAAAACAGGTTAGTAAATACAAGGTAGGGCCAGGAAAGGCTTTGCAGAAGAAGTGACATCTGAGTAGTCCCATAAAGGGTTACATAGGCAGACAATGAAATGGAAGGTATTTCTGCTGGTGAATCACCACAGAGCCATATAAAAAAGAGGGTGGCTTGGCTGGAGAAGGAGAGTTTCAGGATGGCTAAAGCACTGGCTATTTTCTAAGCTACAATGAAGGATTTGGGCTTCAGGGTAAGACACACTAACTTCATCCTCAGATCAGCTTTAATTGATGATGTGGTGGGGCGCCTGGGTGGCTCAATCGGTGAATCATCCAACTTCGGCTCAGGTCATGATCTCATGGTTCGTGAATTCATGTCAGTGCATGCTGACAGCTCAGAGCCTGGAGCTTGCTTCAGATCCTGTGTCTCCCTCTCTTCCTGCCCCTCCCCTGCTCATACACTGTCTCTCTCTGTCTCCCTCTCTCTCTCTCTCTCAAAATAAGTAAACATTACATTTTTTTTTTAACTCGTGATGTGGTGGGGGCGCCCGGGTGGCTCAGTCAGTTGGGCGTCCGACTTCGGCTCAGGTCATGATCTCGTGGTTCATGAGTTCAAGCCCCGCGTTGGGCTCTGTGCTGACAGCTCAGAGCCTGGAGCCTGTTTCAGATTCTGTGTCTCCCTCTCTCTCTGACCCTCCCCCATTCATGCTCGGTCTCAAAAATAAATAAACATTAAAAAAAAAATTCATGATGTGGTGAACAGAACAGACGGAAGTTACCAAGTATGCATTATCTGTTAGTGCAGGTGAGGAGTTTGTTCACTATGCTGCTTAAAGAGTTCCATGCAATCTTTTAAATAAAGTCAAAGTCTCAAGGCACCTGGCTGACTCTGTCAGTGGAGAATGTGACTCTTGATATCAGGGTCCTGAGTTTGAACCCCATGTTGGATAGGAGACTGCTTTAAAAAAATTTTTGTTTTTTAATTGAAGTCATTATCTCCATTTTTGCACAGTCCACATTTAAGTGTCTTCCTACATAGTTCTAGTCATCTTGTTTCAGTTACTTTTCTGGGGTATTTCAAAGAAAGTGTCAGAAGAAGGGCCCAGAAGAGTAGACTGATATCATGTAATGAAGGGCCTTAAAGGTCATACCATATTGTTGGAAATGGGTCATTGTAGGTTCTTAGACAGGAGAGTGACATAGATTTGGTAGTCCATATGGGAGACAGAATAGAATGATCTAGATGTAAAAGATAAAACAGGCTGGCTGCTTGTATGAGGATGCACGGTGTGGTAGAAACTGATGGAGTCACCTTGTTTCTGGCTCTCAGCTCTCCAGAAAGGGTGTGTGGGTCACACCACAGTCACCAGAAACTGATACCAAGTGTTCGTTCCCAGTGTGGGGAGTGGGTCATTCTTGAGACCAGAGTACTTATGTCCAGGGCATCAATTAAGGAAACTTGGATGTGTGGCGAGCAGAAAATCAAGGCAAAATGGGGAAAGGGCTTGAGAGCTACTTTGTCGTTCAGGTCAGTTGGGCTAGACCAACTATCCTCCACCACTCCATACGGAGGAGAATCCTTCCCCTCCACATTCAGTCTGCCTCCTTTGGGAAAACCCTGACGACAGCCTGTTGGGAGGCTCCCGTTTCAGTCTTCACACACACCAACGCTTCTATTTACAAACACTATCTCTCAGCACAGGGTAGGAAAGAATTCACTTTCCATAATTCACTTCTCCCTTTACTGCTACCACCCTAGTCAAAGCCCCCATCATTTCTCACCTGGATTCTCAAAATGGCCTTCCAACTGGACTCCCTGCTTCCATCTGTGTCCCCATTCAATTTATTCTCCACACAGAGGGCAAAGATACATTACTCCTCTGCTTAAAACCTTCCAATGGCTTCTTAGTTCACCCTGAGTAGAAGAAGTCAAATTCTTGTCTAAAGGACTGTGCTTGATGACATGATCTGCCTCACCCTCCTTCTTACTCTCTCCTCTTTCCACGCCCTCTTATTCCTCACATACTAAGCATTATCTGACCTTAGGGTCTCTGCACTTTCCCCAGATACCTATGTGGCTTCTTCTCTTACTTTCTTTGGGTGTATGCTCAACTGTCAATCTGAGAGGTCTTCCTTGCTTATTTTATGTAAAGAAGGTGCCCCTCATGCCAACATAGTATAGCCCCCTTTTCCTGCTTTTTCTTCACAGTACCTATCACCTCCTCCACTTCTACTGTCATGCATTTGCTTATAATCTGTCTTCCCCTCTATCTACCCCAGCCTACTAAGAACGTAAGCTTCAGGAGACAAAGGGGTTTTGTCTAGTTCACTGTTATATCCCAGGCACTCAAAACAATGCCTAATACTTAGCAGATATTCAATATTCATTGAATGAATGAGCGAATTCCAGTCTTGACTTTTAGCAACCTCTTAGCAGCTTCCTGTTCCTCCATTTCTTCAGATACATGGTGACAGAGCTGGGGGAGCCTGTAGCTAGTCTTTTTTGTTTGGTTTGTTTTGTTTTGAGAGAGAGGGAACAAGTTGGGGAGGGGCAGAGAGAGAGAGGGAGAGAGAAAGAATCCAAAGCAGGCTCCATACTGTCAGCACGGAGCCAGACGCAGGACTTGATCCCACAAACCGTGAGATCACGACCTGGGCCAAAATCAAGAGTTGGACGCTTAACTGACTGAGCCATCCAGGTGCCCCTGCTTTGTTTTTTGTTTTGAAAGTAGGTTTCACGCCAGTGCAGAGCCCAACGTGGGGCTTGAACTCATGATCCTGAGATCAAGACCCGAGCTGGGATCAAGAGTCAGACACATAACTGACGGAACGACCCAGGGACCCAGGTGCCCTAGTAGCTAGTCTTTATAAGGCACTTGTTCAGAGCCGTATACATTGCTGAAAGCTTTACATGATTTTTCTCATTTGATCTTCACAATAGGAGGCGGTAAGTACTATTATTCTCATTTCACTGATGAGCAACCAATGCACAGAGAGGTTAAGTAACTTGCTAATATGTGGTGCAACCGTGGCTGGCAATCAAGCAGCCTGATTCTAAACCTGTGCTCGCTTTAGTCACAGCATTTGGTTGGCGGGAGTTTCCGTGAGGCTTTTGGACAAACTGCAGCAGGATGGAGCTAGATGAACCCAGACAGGTGAAGGCAAGAAAAACAAAGAGAGCGTGGCAATCATAGCCCAAGGGATAGGGAATTTTGAAAAAGTGTTTATCCCCTCATCTTTTTAAGTTGATAGCTAAAGTTTTCATCACAAATGTATTAATTTTTTTAATGTTTTTATTTTATTTTTGAGAGAGAGACAGAGTGTGAGTGGGGGAGGGGTAGAGAGAGAGGGAGACAGAACGTGAAGTAGGCTCCAGGCTCTGAGCTGTCAGCGCAGAGCCTTGACGTGGGGCTTGAACTCACAGACCACGAGATCATGACCTGAGCCAAAGGGATGCCCAACCGACTGAGCCACCCAGGGACCCCCGATCACAAATTTAAATAGTTGCAATGAATGTAAACTCTGGCAAACTGTAAATAATGACAATTTAAGATAGCACTGTCAAATCACTTTTTATAATGTATCCAACAGACTCTATGTTACAATTTAGTGACCACCATCATCCATTTAAAATTACACATGAGCTCTTTAATATTTGGTAATTCTATATTGTTCTTTCATCTCTAATTTACTCCATAAAATGTTATCCAAAGACAATAATTTTTACGTTTCAAAAACCTTTTACTGATCACTTATTCGTGATAAAAATATGTATCAAGGGAAATTAAAAACATTTTTCCCTGTAATTGTATGGCTTTATGTATTTGAGTTATTCTGAGCTGAGTAATATTACAATTATCTTTAATATACAGCTGCTCAAAATGACATGATTATAAATTTTGATAGTACATAAATATAAAAGGTAAAATTCTACTGGAAACACATCTCTCAGTGAGATAGATGGGGATTCCCCAGAAATTAATTCATGTATCTAAATGACTGTTTCTTACTGCTAGATTAACAGGGTTTTTGCTTCAATTTTCTTTTTTGTTTTCATAGATACAGTGCCAAGAAATATGACTCACGAGGGAATGCTGGTAATTCTGTTACAGAATTGTCGATCAATTCTTTGGTTTCCTTCTGAGTGACACGCCAAAAGTCAAAGAATGCTCCTTCCTCAGTGGGCAGTTCAAATAGACCTACTACTAATTCTGTTAAAAGCAAAGCGAACCAAGCAAAAACCCGGAAACAATCTAACAAAAGAACTTGTTATCCAGTCATTAGAGTCCTTCACTTTCTCAAGTGATTTTTAATTATACTGATTACTTTTCTCTTCGAGGCATTTAGGAAGAGTTGGGAAATTCGAGATATTGTTAATTTCAACACATCTTTAGCATTACAATATTACTGTAATTTAAATATATTTTAGTTGCAGCTGCAGATTTAGCTCAACTTATTGTAAATAATAATTATGCAAATTAGCAACGCCAGTCTCTTTGACAAACCAACTAACCAAATTAGGCTTCTCTTTGGGGAGAAAAAAATTTCCCTTTTCAAGTCAAATAAATGTGTTAACAGGCGCCCCCGTGACCACATGTAACTTCTCAATCCCAAGATAAACATGGCACTGAGCTTTGACAGGGGTTGGTCCCTAAGGAAAGTAAGGCTCTTTCAGTTCAGGTGTTTTTAACCCACGCCTTCCTTGCTTTGTTCCAGGACACTCTTAGGCAAGATGCCACCCCGCCTTCACGTGGAGTGGCAGAGGCGACATCTTTAAACGCAAATCTCATCACTACCGCCCACTGTCTAACAGGTCTGCACTCGGAACACCCCAATATGGGCCCAAATCCCGCACTAAGAATGCCTAGTCTCGCTCTCCGCTCTCCCTTTCAGCCCTAAGGTGTCCCGGGCACGCCAAGCCTCAGTTTGATCTGCGCCAGGTCAGAAGCACGGTTTCCAGAGCCGGCGAAGTCGGCCGCTCTGCGGCTCTTTCCGCTTCCTCACGGCGGGAGTGGCGGCCCCCTCTGCGTCAGCCCCAGCTCAGTCCCGACCACCAGTGGGCTTGCGCTGGCCGGGAAGGTCCCGCGCAGGCCGCAGCCCTGCCAGGGCAAGCCAGGCACCGAACGACGCCACCTCCCCCTCGGGGGAAAGCGACAGCTCTGCTGCGTTGCCGGGTCCAGGAGGGAGGCCGGAACCCTCGGCGAGAGGCCGGCGTGGGAGGGAGGGAGGGAGGGGGAAGAATGTTGGTGCAACGCAGCTCCGAGCGATCTGACCGGGCGGCCGAACCGCAGCGGACGCAGGCCGGAACTCGGCGTGTGGACTTCGGCCCACCTTGGGCCGGAAGTGGGGAAGGCGGGATTGTCCTTTTCCGGCAGAAAGTAGGAGGAACCGGGGGCGTCGCCGTGGGGAAGAGTGTTGGTGTAACACTGCCGGCTGCGCCGAGGGTTAGGATGGAGGCGGGTGTCTGTGTAGGGGCGCTCGGAAGGGACGGATATCGCTGTGGCACTGCGGGGACGCTCTGAGGGGACTGGTGTCGGTGTGGCACCGGTGCACGCTGAAGGAGCTGGCGGAACCGGGTGGCCATGGGGATGTGGGCGTCGCTGGACGCGATGTGGGAGATGCCGGCCGAGAAGCGTATTTTCGGGGCCGTGCTGCTCTTCTCCTGGACAGTGTATCTTTGGGAGACCTTCCTAGCGCAGCGACAGGTGAGCCTAGATGGGGCCCACCTGACCCCGACACCTGACCTGCCCGGGCCAGCGTCGGTCTCGACCCGCAAGTCCCTGGATGATTCCTGCGGCTCCAGCATCAGCCTCGACCCTGTGGGTCCCTACTAGGCCTCCTAAATTGGCCCTATGGCGGGCTTGGCCTTGAGGGTATTTGGTGCCTCTGGGAGGTTTTCCGCGACGTGATCCTGGGACCCAGGCCGGTTAGGGCCTGGTGAAAGGGAAGTCAGGGTTGACTTGAGTCGTGCCTGGCCCACAGCTTTCTTAGGATCCTCAGGCCCAGACTTACCTCCTTTACCTTTGGCAGAGACCCATGAGCCTTTAAAAGGAAGATGCAACATTTTTACCAATCACAACTTCCCGGTGATGCTCAACCATGGGATTAGGACACCATTTTCTGAAAATAAAGACTTAACAAATCCTTCTAAGGACCTGAACTTTTTTCCCTTAAAAAACAAACAAACAAACATGTATACAGTATGTTGTTTTGCCCAAAGAACAATATGTTCTTTTGTTTAAACAATTAGAGCTGTAAAATAGAAACTGAAAGTTACTTAATAACAGTTTCCTGGAGGTAATCATAATGAACGGCCTGCTGTTGGAGATGCGAACTTTTAAATGAGATAGATCTTAAGTTTGTCTGCTTTATTGTCTCTGATTGCTGATTTGTTTTATCTACATTCTTCTATGTTGTCATTGTGTCAACCTGATGGCTATGAGAACCTTTTTTTTAACTGCCAGAACTCTTTCTTGAGCATTACCTTCCTCTACAGTACACATTTCTTCTCTCGGGTTACTTTCTGCATGAATCTTTAAATTGGAATTTTTAGTTTTTCATCAGTGGCTGAGTTGTGTCTTGATCTCTTCTTTTAGCCCAGGATATTTTTTTTATTTACTTATTTTTTAGTCTTTTGAGTCTTCTTCTTTTTTTTTTTTTTTTTTTTTTTTTTTTTTTTGTCTTTTTAAAAAGTAATCTCTGTGCCCAATGTGGGGCTCAAACTCATGACCCCAGGATCAAGAGTCACCAACTGAGTGCTCTACCAACTGAGCCAGCTGGGTGCCCCTTAGTTCAGGATCTTTAAAGAGGTGTTAAGCTGTATAGCACTAAGTTCTCTGACATAGATATCTTTGGATAACTTTATTAGTACAGAATCTTGAGGTCCTAAAGAAGATCCTTTGGATAAGGTAAACACAGTATATAGTGTCTAAATTGAGGGGCTTATTGAACATCTATCTGTCTTACTTTAACGATAAGCCCAGTTACAGTAACTGCTCTTTGAGAATGTCTCCTTTACTCAATTATGCTTAATTTTTTAAATGTTTTTTATTTATTTTTGAGAGAGCGACAGAGAATGACTGGGGGTGGGGCAGAGAGAGGCCCCAGGCTCTTAACTGTCAGCACAGAGCCTGATGTGGGGCTTGATCCCAAACTGTGAGATCATGATCTGAACCGAAGTCAGATACTTAACCGACTGAGCCATCCAGGCACCTCCTCAGTTGTGCTTTAATGTAATGCCTTTTATTGAGGGTTTGGTAAGGTGCTCAACAACGTATAGGGAAGCCATGTGTCATAAAACCATTGTAGGAGATACTGTCCATTATATTGCTTAGTTTCTGTGCCCTGTATTATGTCCCGTGGTCTGAAATTTACCATTTCGAATTTGGCATAATGATAAAGTTTGTCTTTTATTTTTTTAATTTTAGAGATAAGAGTGTGTGAGCAGGGGGGAGGGGTAAAGGGGAGAGGTAGAGAACCTTAAGCAGGCTCCATGCTCAGTGCCGAGCTCCACCCTGGGCTCGATCCCACTACCCTGGAATCATGATCTGAGCCAAAATCTAGAGTTGGATGTTCAACTGACTGAGCCACCCAAGTGCCCCAAGTCTGTCTCTCTTGAAGACCTGATCTGTTTCCATTTGTCATTCCTCAGATTTCTCTGAATTTAGTTTCCAGGACCAAGTTTAGTAATTAGCTACAATATCTGTTAATACTTATGGCTAGCATGGCTTCCTTCTCCTTTCCATGAGTTTGTTTTCTATATTATATAGGATGTATGTTTTTCTTGGAGTGAGTGGTACATCACCCTTTGTACATCACCATTTGTGATGTACAGTTTTGGTTTACATGTGCAGACTGAAGTGTGATGACAGCCCTGATTTTAATTTTCCCTTGTCAGCTAGCCTCTGAGTCTCTTGTTCTGCTTTTACTTTGCTGCGTCAGTTGTCTTCGCGGTCAATGCACTTGATCAAACGTAATATTTGTGTATATGTAAAGCAAATTCAGTAGGCTTAAGTGACAGGTTAAGGCTGTAACTACTCAGTGTTTGATCATAAATGACTATTGTAATAAATAAGGCGTTGGCTTGACTGTCTCAAAGTGTTTTCTTCAAAATATTTCAGAGACGGATATATAAAACAACAACTCATGTACCACTGGAGTTAGGACAGATCATGGATTCAGAAACCTTTGAGAAATCCCGACTGTATCAGCTGGATAAAAGTACTTTCAGCTTCTGGTCAGGACTCTATTCAGAGATTGAAGGCACTGTGAGTAAATTACTTTCTGGAGAGACAACTTATCAAAATGTTTAGTACTCTGTAATGTTGGTTTTCATTTTGTATTCTTGTGACACAAAAGAGGGTACCATATCTACACATCCTAGAATGCTTTTTTAACCTTTGTTACCAGTAATAATGGGTGTGGAGCAAAAGAGGCTCATACATAATTGTTAGTGAGTTGAAAACTGGCATATGATAACTATCGTAGGTCAGGTGTGAAAAAGAACCTTCTATTATAAGATATTAAGATCTTCTTCTTCTTCTTCTTCTTTTTTTTTTTTTTTTTTTTTTTTTTTTTTTTTTTTAGTTTATTTATTTATTTTGAGAGAGAGAGAATCCCAAGCAGGCTCTGCACATGAGGTCAGTGCGCAGGGCCTGACACAGGGCTCGAACCCACGAAACCATGAGATCGTGACCTGAGCCAAAATTCAAGAGTTGGATGTTAAACCAACTGAAGCACCCAGGCGCCCCTCTGAGATATTCAGCAGTCTTTACAGGCCTTCCTGCCTCCGTCTTAACTTTTCTATTGCCCTTCACACTGCAACCAAAGGAACCCTGAAGGATAATTCTGATCATGCTGTTCTCCTGCATAAAACCTATCCCTGGCTCACTGTTTCCTTCTGGGTGCGGTCCAGATTTTTTGGCATGAGTTTTGGGGGTACTTTTGACCTGGCCATTGCTTACTTCAGCTCTTTTTATTCGTTCCCCCAAATTCTTTCTCCTTTTTTGTCCAGCTTGGTTTCTTGTAACTTTGAGTTTTTTCACATGCTAGTATCTATCAGGGGTGCTCACCTCTACAAGTCCACTCTCTTGCTGGAGGCTGATTAATCCCCACTCTTCCATTAGGTTCCAGCTGAGACATCATCTCTTCTAAGAAACAGTTTGAGGGGCGCCTGGGTGGCTTAGTCAGTTAAGCCTCTGACTTCACTCATGTCATGATCTCACGTTTCATGAGTTTGAGCCCCAAATCAGGCTCTCTGCTATCAGCATGGAGCCCACTTTGGATCCTGTCTCTCTCTGCCCCTCCCCAGCTCACGTGTGTGCAACGTGCTCTCTCTCTCAAAAATAAACATTTAGAAAAATTATTAAAAAAAAGAAAAGAAACCATTTGAATCTTCCCCTGTCCCTCGAGACTGGTTAAGGCAGCATTCTTTCATTATTCCTGTCAGTACTTATCACATGGTGAGACTGATAGTTCTTTCTTTATTTTTTTTTTTTAAGTTTATTTCTTTATCTTGAGAGAGAGAGAGGAAGGGAGAGGATCCCAAGCAGGCTCCGCATCAGGAGCATGGAGCCTGACATGGGGCTTAAAGTCACAAACTGTGAGATCATGACCTGAGCTGAAACCAAGAGTCAGATGCTCAACCAACTGAGCCACCCAGGCACTCCAGACTGATAATTCCTTAAAGAAAGGATACTTTAAGGTCTTGTAATCATTTGGCATCTAGTGACTGGCATAAAATAAGCATATAATCCGTATTTCTTAAATGAAACAAGTGATGGGTCATTTTTACTTAGTAAAACAGACCCAGTCTTCCCCCCCATGCTAAAAGAAGAGAGGCTGTGTAGTGTAGAGCAGTGTTTCTCAGTCTTTTCTTCATGATCACCCCTGGCCCTGTATCTTTTTAGACATTTTTTTCTTTTATTAAAAAAAAAATTTTTTAAAGGTATCTATTTTTGAGAGAGAGAGAGAGAGAGAGAGAGAGAGAGAGAGAGAGAGACAGAGCATGAGTGGGGGAGGGGCAGAGAGAGAGGGAGACACAGAATCCGAAGCAGGCTCCAGGTTCTCGGCTGTCAGCACAGAGCCCAATGCGGGGCTCGAACTCACAGACCGTGAGATCATGACCTAAGCCAAAGTTGGATGCTTAACCGACTGAGCCACCCAGGTGCCCTTAGACATTTTTTTCTTAATCACCCCTCCATGAAATTTTAATACCACAGATATACTGTATATCTGTTTCTGTACTGTATGTATGTATATCTGTGCTTTATAAATAAAATGAGTAAGGTTTCTCTTCATTCCCAAACACCAGTTGTTGGTTTTCCACCTCCAAGAACAATTGAAGGTACATGGTGCGGAGGTTAAGAACCCAGGGGGCTTGAGTCTGAATCTCAGTTCTACCATACCAGCTCTGGGGCCTCAAGCAAGCCACCACTTCTGTGCCTCAGTTTTCTCATCTGTTAAAATTGTGTAGTGATATTTCCTCATTTGTAGTGTTGTTGAGAGGATTAAATGAGTTAGTATGTGTGAGAAGGTTCGAAAAGTTCCTGATCCATTATCAATGCTCTGTAAGTGTTGGCCATTATTATTATTATCATCGTGATCGTGATTATCATCACTATTCCTCTAGACCTCTTTTAAATCTCCAGTACCACTAAGAGAAAAATTCCTAAATTGAAAATAAATGAGGTCAGCTACCATAATTGTTTCTTCAGTTTAAGAGAAGAAACCAGCTGTTCAGAGCTTTGTTAAATGATGAAAACATTTCCAGCTGGTCACAAAATTTTCCTTGACAGTTACGGACTAGTGTGATTAGAACCAAATTATTACAAGTCTTTCCTATTTCCTCAGGATGATGCAAAGTAGCGAAAAGTTAAGAAGAGTTAAATCTTATCTGAAAAACAAAATTCATTTGGCTTTTAGGATATGTTGCAATTACTAGTAATTAGTCTTCTCAATGTTGATTTTTTAAATTATATTTTTTACAAGTCCAAGCCTGGTTTAGTTACAGAGATATTGAAGATTAGTATCGAAACTTGATGCTTTCCAACCAAGCCAGGCTTTATTGTGGTTTATATTTGGCTTTGATTAGTTTATCTGAAGCATTTCTTTTGTTAAGGTCCAACTGTGAAATCATCCTTCAGAGGGAGAGATGGAAGCAGAGGTGGTGAATTTAGACACCGTTCTCTTTCCTCACTGATGTTTGATTCTGTGAAGTTCTTTGGCTTACCCCTCACAGGGCCATTATAAAAAGACAGGCAAAACATTTTCAGTCTCTTTCGTTGTCACTAGTAAACAGTTCCAGGAAAGATGGGCAGTAGCTTGGTTGTTACAGTTGGTGAGCATGGGGGTGGTCTAGTTTGTTCCAGGAGATGACAGAGACAGGGAAAACACATATAGAAAGAGAGCTTTGTAATGTGCCTGTTTGATGTTACAACAGTGCTTTGAGGTAGAAAGGGTAGGCATTGTTATTCCCTTTTTATGGATGAGAAGGTGGAGGCTCAGAGAAATTAAATGGCTTGTCCATTTAACGGCCAAGTGACGATAATAAGTGGGAGAAGTGGGTTTCAAACTCTGCTCTTCTGAGTCTTTAAAATTGCATTGAAGAAACCATTCTTAAAACTCTAGGGACCACATCATAAATGTGCTGAATTTATCCTTGGGGAATTAGCTCTATTTACCGTTCGATGGGAAGCATTTTGTGTTACTTTGAAATCCTGTTCTGTTTGAAGACAGGTTCACTAATTCCTATTTTGTGTTGATTAAAATTAATAAGTTTTTATGTTTTGGTCACAAAGAACAAGTGCAAAGATTGATTTAAACTTTTTGTTGCCTCTTTTTTTCTATCCGAAGGAACATAAGCAGAGGCCTTGTGTGACCAATTACAGGTGCCACTGTTCACATAAATGTGACAGAGCACCCAGAGAGAAGGTGTCCAGCCTTTCTGAGACAGACTTTCCTGGTGTCTCACAAATGTCAGTGAAGAGCCTGATCAGGAAGTGGAAGGGCTGGACAGTTGAGGAGGGCAGTGTAGCAACATTGAAATTGTTGCTTTTCCAATTTCTGTGGGTTTCTGAGTGAGCACCTTGGCCTTCTTGAGCCTCCTTTTTTCCCCTCTTTGTGATGAGAAGCCGATACATATTATACCATATCTCACATGGTTTGTAGCAAGGACTGAATGAGTGAGATAATGTCGATGAAGCCATTAGTACACTGCTCAATACATAGCAGTCACGTCATCACTGGGTTTCTTTGGGCAAGTAACTTTAACTTCTGATTTTAGGTGTCTCATCTATAATGTGGTAATGACTATATGTCTTGCCTGCTTTGCAAGAGTCTAGTGGGATCTTATGTTTAAGAGTGATGGAGTTGTGGGGTGCCTGGGTGGCTCAGTCGGTTAAGCGTCCGACTTCGGCTCAGGTCATGATCTCACGGTCCGTGAGTTCGAGTCCCGTGTCCCGTGTGCTGACAGCTCAGAGCCTGGAGCCTGTTTCTGATTCTGTGTCTCCCTCTCTCTCTGACCCTCCCCCGTTCATGCTCTGTCTCTCTCTGTTTCAAAAATAAATAAACGTTAAAAAAAATATTATTAAAAAAAAAGTGCTGGAGTTGTTTTTGTTGGGCTCATTAGTTCTTGTTATAAGACATCCCTGCAGCCTGCTCAGTGAGATTATCAATAGAGGGAAACTTTACTGTTCACTGTGTTTTATATTTCATTTCCCAAAGTATACTAAACAAGGTTTGCGACAGCAGTTTCTAAAAGCATTCCGAGATGCATTTGAAATTCATATTAAAACTACCCTTGGGGCACCTGGGTGGCGCAGTCAGTTAAGCGTCCGACTTCAGCCAGGTCACGATCTCGTGGTCCGTGAGTTCGAGCCCCGCGTCAGGCTCTGGGCTGATGGCTCGGAGCCTGGAGCCTGTTTCCGATTCTGTGTCTCCCTCTCTCTCTGCCCCTCCCCCGTTCATGCTCTGTCTCTCTCTGTCCCAAAAATAAATAAACGTTGAAAAAAAAAATTAAAAAAAAAAAATAAAACTACCCTTGATACGTACTTAAAAGCTGGACTTTTAATAATAGGTGTTTTAACGTTTCACCAGAAGGCTTATAAATCCTTAATTTTGCATTATTTATTAGGATTAAGAACAGGATGAAAGAAGTGCCGTCTCAAGTCGATTAGTTCAACAGGCGGTGCATATACCAGACAGTGGTGCCAAAGCATATCTTTTGGGAAGACGGGGTTTACATCCAAGACTGGGTTAGGTGAGATAGCTGGATGAAGAGTTAAGGGAGCCTTTAAGACAGCAATTTATTAAACCCAAGATTTTCAGACTTTGGTGACTGTGCCTGGAGACTGCCAGGCTCCACTTCCAGTTCCTGATTCAGTGGTTCTGGGGTGGAGCCTGAGTATTTGCATTTCTAACACATTCCCTGGTGATGCTGCTGCTGCTGCTGCTGTACAGAAACTATATTTGAGGTCCATGGTATTAAACCAACCCAGCATACAGGGAAACATCTAAAAGATGGATGGCACCAAGTGTGGGTGAGATTGTAGGGAACAGGAGCCCTCCAGTACTGCCGATGAGGGTGTAATTTGGCGTAAACACTGCAGAGAACAAGCTGATCATAATACAAATACATTTACCAATCATTGTGGATGGATCTAAAAATATGTAGAGTGTAAAAAGCAAGTTGTAGAATAAGTACAATATAATGTTATTTATATATAGTCTCAAAAAGCATATATGAATCACTATATTATTTATGGATACATATATAAAAATGGAAAGTAGATTGGAAGGCTTCCCATGAAATACACGATAGTGCCAAAACCTGTCAAAACCACAATGAACTGTGTGTGAACCAATGAGAATATTGTGCTTCTAACCAAGGAGTGTGATTGATCGTCGTGTTCCTGAGACTCCAGGGAAAGGAAAACTAAACCGATTCCTCTTTAGTTTCATAAACTTAGTATCTGTTGTGGCAGGTTGTGTTTTGTAAGCATGCATTCTTTTCAGATTTTAAGAGCAGCTTGCTCATTCGAATGTCGTGGTGATTTGGTGAATATCTTTGTTCACTGTATCTGCCCAAGACAAAGGGTGGTGCTGAGAAGGGGGCCTCCTCCTATGAAACCCTGACTCCTACCTCAAGATTCACCTTTTCCTTACCTGGGGAAAGCACAGATATCCCATTCCGTCCCTCAGTTTGGTAAGTGGACCTGACTCTCCACTTACACTGATACTAATACTTTGTCCTGACGGATGGGGGCTGTTTCCTTTTAGGCAAAAGCCACTTAGGGAGCCACATAGCCTTGGTTAGATCCCATTTATGTGACTCATTAGCCGTGAGATTCTGGATAAATTGCTTACCTTTTCTAAGTTTAGTCCCTGATCCATAAAACTTTTGTTGTGGTCTTTTGGCAAATTTATTTATTCATTCATTCATTCATTCATTCATTCATTCATTTTACAGCTTCACTTTATAGAGACATAATTCCCATACCATCCTAATTTATCTGTATAAAATGTACAGGCATAAATACTTTACCAGGCTAAACTTAGTATCTCAATTGGTTTGTATCCACGTAAATGCATATTTTAGCCTAAATAAGATAGGTCTCTTTTTTCTTCAGAGATTATTATTTTGTCCTTTTTTCTTTTCTTTTTTATGTTTTATTTATATTTTGAGAGAGTACGAGTGGGGGAGGGGCAGAAAGAGAGGGGGACAGAGGATCTGAAGCAGGTTCTGCACTGATAGGCTTGACAACAGAGAATGCAGGGCTTGAAGTCACGGACCACAAGATCATGACCTGAGCCGAAGCAGGATGATCAACTGAGCTACCCAGGCGCCCCCTGTCCCTTTTTCTTTATGAAATGTTCTCATCTGATAATTTCTAGTCTTCAAATTTAACCAAAGTATGTCTTGTTTTATAGCTTATTCTTCTTTTTGGAGGAATTCCTTATCTCTGGAGACTTTCTGGACGGTTCTGTGGCTATGCTGGCTTTGGACCAGAATATGAGGTATGTGATTCATTAGCATATATATTTTAGAGTCTTACTTTTTGCTTGGCCAGCTATACATGGAAGTTAATTTTTTGGCTCTGTCTTAAGCTTGCTTCTCCGTTTGTACAATCCTTGTCCACACATGCTATGTTAGGATAATGCTAGTTATTGTAGCACACTCCAGAATTTCAATAGCTTATCACAATACTTTATTTCTCAATCACAGAATAGCCTCGCGTGAGTATTTTTGGCCAACAGGTGACATTCTTCCACATGGGGAGCCAGGGACCCAGTCTCTTTTCATCTTATGGCTGTGCTGTCTCCTGAGTGCCCCAGAGTTCTCTGCGTCCAACAGGCAGGTGGAATGAGGGGGTGGAGAAAGTACATCCTCTTCTTAATTCCCTTGGCTCTGTAGTATCCTTTGCATTCACATCTTGCTGGTGAACCAGTCATTTAGTCTCGGATGTAAGGGAACGGGGGAATGTGCGCTCCAGTTAGGCAAGCTATTTCTCAGGGACAACCCCTTCCTTCCAGTGAAAGGGGAAACAAGAATTTCGTTGAACCCACTCAGCAGACGCTCTGTACCATACGCAGTTAGCACATACTTCAAACAAGGACAGGGAATGTATCTTTGAGAGTCTCCTTGGAGCTCCTTGAGTCGACTACCCATTCTTACAGAAGTTCCATTCCCTGGGCAAAGCCCTAAGCCTGAGACTCCCTGACCTGTGGTGGATGCTAGGACACTGCCTCCTGACTTCTTGTTGGAAATTGCCAACTCTCTTCCCTCTTTCCTGATTGTTTATTTGAAATGATGGCTCTCTTCTACATGTATAGGTATCTTGGGTTTTAATTCAGCTCATCCTATGTTCCTTTTCTGTATACCTTTTTCTAAATCAGCCAAACCCTTTAATTTTTTTTTTTTTTTGACATTTATTCATCTTTGAGATGACAGAGAGAGACAGCATGAGCGGGGAAGGGGCAGAGAGAGGGAGACACAGAATCCGAAGCAGGCTCCAGGCTCTGAGCTGTCAACACAGAGCCCGACGCAGACTCAAACTCACAAACTGTGAGATCATGACCTGAGCCGAAGTCGGATGCTCAACCGACTGAGCCACCCAGGCGCCCCTCAGCCAAACTCTTTAAAGACATGATCTAGTATAAGTTTCTCTGCCTTGTCCCAACCAGGCTTGCCATCTTGTCCTCTTCCACTTACAGGGTGCTCTTTTCTCTCTCCGTGCTTTTGTAAATTGCAAGGAATTCTTCCTTTCCTTGTCTCTCCTGTCCCTTTAGTTTACCTCTTCAGAGTGGCATCCTGAGTCTCCTCAGCCTTGTAAGCCTTGCAAGCCTTGCTTGAATTTACCAGCATATGTAGCTGTCTCTCATTTTTTGGTTCTTTTAACCATTTTGTCTATATGGCTTCAGGTGACTTTCACATAGTGCCTATGTAATAAAAGAAACATTGTTTTATTGCCTCCTCTGGCAAGTAAACTCTGAGATACAGATGTTGTTTCAGACTTTGTAACCCATAGAATCAAGCACATTGCTTGAAATCCTGTAAGTACTCAGCAACTACCTATTGATTTGTTCACTAATCATTCATTTGAAGAAGGAATTAATATTACACTATAAAAACCGCCGCTGTTTTCTTCTTGTGTTTAGATCACTCAGTCCTTGGTGTTTCTCCTGTTGGCTACGCTTTTCAGTGCATTGACTGGTTTGCCATGGAGTCTTTATAATACTTTTGTGATAGAAGAAAAGCATGGTTTCAATCAACAGGTAAACTAGAGAATGCAAATATTCTCTTTTATTTATTTTTTTATTAAAAATTGTTTTTAATGTTTATTTATTTTTGAGAGAGAGGGAGAGAGAGTGAGAGCAGGGGAGGGGAGGAGAGAAAGGGAGAGAAAGGGAAAGGAGAGAGAAAGGAGACACATGACCTGAGCCGAAGTCGGACGACCAACTGACTGAGCCACCCAGGCGCCCCTCAAATATTCTCCTGTAAATATAAAGACTTCTTTGTGCTTTTTTGCCCCTCTGCTGGTAATAATTGAAGCATAATTTGCTATTTTAGAGCATGAATTCAGTGAAGGAAAAGGAACTGCAGATCATAGGTTAAAGTCTTGCCATAAACTCTTCCAGTCTAGTATCCTTTTGCTAACATTTAAATGGGTTGATTTTGAACTGTAAAATGCCAGACATTTACTTGTCGTCTTAGACTACCTACTGTCATATAATATAGACTCACTGCCTTTTAACTGTTAAAATTTCTTTAATAGGGACGCCTGGGTGGCTCAGTTGGTTAAGCATCCGAGTTCGGCTCAGGTCATGATCTCAGGGCTCGTGAGTTCGAGCCCCGTGTTGGTCTCTGTACTGACAGCTCAGAGCCTGGAGCCTGCTTCAGGTTCTGTGTCTCCCTCTCCCTGCCCCTCCCCGACTTGTGCTCTGTCTCACTCGCTCTTTCTCAAAAATAAATAAACATTAAAAAAAATTAAAAATAAAATTATGTATCCTTTATATTCACTTATTATTTACTTTAAAAGCAGTTTCTCATTTTCTTGTGATGATCTTTTCTTTTTTCAGACTTTGGGCTTCTTCATGAAAGATGCAGTCAAGAAATTTATCGTGACTCAGTGCATTTTATTGCCTGTGTCTTCACTTCTACTTTATATTATTAAAATTGGGGGAGACTATTTTTTTATATATGCCTGGCTGTTCACATTAGTTGTTTCTCTGGTGAGTAAAATCTTTGTTTCATTTTCTTTTACAAAATTTTCTTGGCAAGATAACTATGATTTAATCTTCATTAGCATGTAAACAGTTCTTGAGAAGCAAATGAAATATAAATAAGTGGTCATCTAAATTTCCCCCTTGGTTTCTGCTTTTGGGTATAGAAATAGGAGAACTGACCCTGACCGTAGATTTTTTTTCTCCTTATGCTGACTCGGATCCTAGAAGCTGGTTATTAGTTACCGTTAATAGTTGTCAGGCAGTTTTAGGCTGTGCATTTGTGAGTTGTCACCAGAATGGATGACTAGGTTTGATCATTCAGTCCCTCTTTACTGAGCTCCAGTGCCTAAACATCATGGATGTTTTGAAGGAAGACTAGATTTAAGAGGGATAAGAAAAAGAAACCCTAAACCTGCCTGATTTTTTTCTGCCCTCTTTCCCCTGCTTTTTCCCTCCTCCATTCGTGCTTTTTTATCCCTTCTTCTCTGCTCCCTTCCCCCTTGGTCCTCACTTCTCTTCTCCCTTTTCTCCCCTCCCCTCTCTTCCTTCTCCCTCCCTTCCCTCTCACCCCGCATCTTCCCTTCCTCACATCTTTGCTTCTTCTCTCTACCATATTCTAAACCACTTCACAACGCATACACTACAACACAATGAAAACAGTCTGTTCCCAGCTCCCAGAAAATAGCATCTATCAGCTCTTCAACTCCTGTGACGATGAGGTGTATTTTAGTCTGAATTGCCATGGTGCTCACTGCTTCACTTTCCCTGGTGGGATCGAGCTCCAAGAACAGGTGCTAGTTGGATTTGCACATATCTGTGTATGGCCAATGAAGTGAGAGGAAAGAGCAGATGGAATGTTCCAGAAATGCTTAAGGAAGTGCCATTTCAACCTCAGTGTACACTGTGGGTAATTAATTTTGTACACTACAGGTAATTAATTTTAGTAGACCACCCAAATAATAGCACACAATCAAGCTCTAGTAATTAATTTTTAGCAAAGAATGCAGGTCTCTCGTGATTACTCTGAAAGGCAGAATTCCAAGTTATGATGGGCTTATGAAGTAGCAGAAAGTCCCAAGATAGTTTTTGAGTGGACCATTTGACTTTTCAATTATTACCACATAGAGACTACTCACTTTGATTTAATTTAACAGATACTGAACACTTATTATCTGGTAGTATTTGGGGTTGGGAATACCAGAACAAATGAAAAGATCCATGTTCTCAAGGCTAGATCAGGGAGTTGTTTTAATATGATTGAATCTGTATAAATGGCAGTGTTTCTTTAAGAACGTATTCATAGGGCCGCCTAGGTGGCTTACCCCGGTGGGGCTCTGCTGACAGCTCGGAGCCTGCTTAGGATTCTCTGTCTCCCCTTCTCTCTTTGTCTCTCTCTCCATCCTCCTCTGTGCATTCTCTTTCTCTCTGTCTCTCTCAGAAATAAATAAACATTGGGGCGCCTGGGTGGCGCAGTCGGTTAAGCGTCCGACTTCAGCCAGGTCACGATCTCATGGTCCGTGAGTTCGAGCCCCGCGTCAGGCTCTGGCCTGATGGCTCAAAGCCTGGACCCTGTTTCTGATTCTGTGTCTCCCTCTCTCTCTGCCCCTCCCCCGTTCATGCTCTCTCTCTGTCCCAAAAATAAATAAATGTTGAAAAAAAAAAAATTAAAAAAAAAAAAAGAAATAAATAAACATTTAAAAAAATGATGGAAAGTCAGATTTCTAAAAAAAAAAAAAGCATACTCATAGGTTGTTCTGACATTTATTTTTCAGGTGCTTGTCACAATCTATGCTGATTATATTGCCCCTTTATTTGACAAGTTCACACCTCTGCCTGAGGGAAAGCTTAAACAAGAAATTGAAGTAATGGCAAAGAGTATTGACTTTCCTTTGACTAAGGTGTATGTTGTTGAAGGTAAGGCTATCCGGGGGTAAGGAGGTTTTACTCAAGTGTTTTGATTTGTTAGGATTTTACAATTTGGCTTCTGAAGATTTCTAGGACTTGGTGGCAGAGTCCAGGGATAGAAACTGGTAGCCTGATACCAAGCCTGCTCTTACCTGCAGCTGTGTTGGGTTGGCTTTACCGTGTTGGTTTTAAGTTTTGGCCAAGGCCTTTTTCACTGCTAGTTGTATCATGTATATGACACTGGTTTAGATACTTCTGTTACCTTCCTGGCTCCCTCAGGGAATGGAGTTGGACTTTCGCATAGTCCAGTTCCACTTAGCTCTAGTTGGGGGCTTATAAAATAAAACCAGCGATGCTGGCTTTGTCTCATCCAACAAAACTTCCAGTGTTCTGGAGGAGTCCAATTTCACTTGCACATACACCAGAAACTGTAGTACCATTGGATACTTCAGATTAGTTGTTCTCTGCTTTTTTGATGATTGCTTTTGAGAGTTAAGCTATGTATTAGCTTACGTAAGACTACTAAAGTCTCAAGCCCAAAAAGACGTAGAGTAAAACTGTTGTATGATACCATGACTTTCAGAATCTATAATTAAAAGCCATGTAAATGTGTGAGGCACCGGTTCTGCCTCTGCCAGTGGGATCTTGGACGAATCCCTTCACGCCTCTCGGTTTCGCTTTTGCTTCTCTAAACCATAGTTTGGCAAACGTTTTCTGTAAAGGGCTAGTCAATAAATATTTGAGGCTTTGTGGGCCACATGGTCTCTGTTGCAGCTCTTGAACCCTGCCATTAATTAGTACAGAAGCAGTCACAGATAATGCATAAGCAAATGAGCATGGCTATGTTCTAATAAAATTTTATTTATAAAACCAGGTGGGAAATTAAATTTGTTCTGCAAACCATACTTTGCCCATCACTCCTTTAAATAAAAAAAGGAAAAAAAAAATCAGTGAGAAACAGCTGTACTGAATGAAGGACTAGAACCTGAGAAGTAACTGCAGGGCCAGGGCGAAGAGATGACTGCGATGGGAAAGAATGAATTAACAGCAACTAGAAGAGCATAGACATCTCAGACTTGTAGTGGCTTCAGAGGTTATACAGCCTGGCTGACTGCACAATTGGGACATTTCCATGGGGGAAATGGTAGAAGAATGACAATTCACACTACTTCTTTAGCCTCTGGGATCACTACTCTTTTAGTGAATAGTAAACTGGAAGTGCAGTAATCAGTGCAGAAGCATGGTCTCTGAGGGGTTTTTATTGAAGGGGGCGGCCTGAGTTGCTTATCACTTAAGTTATAATCAGAGAATATGAAATGACAGCTAATGATATCAGAATAGAGGTAATTGATGTATAAATATATACTGTCAGTGCCATATGGTTTTAGATGAAATAAGGATGGCTTTATGGAGAATTACAACATGAGCTGGGACTTTATGGAAAATAAGGATTTGGCCTTTTTTTTTTTTTTCCTCACTCCCTGGCCATCTTGTGGGGCCAGCCCACACCTAAGGCAGGAAGACGGTGGCCACAAAGATGAAAAAGCCACTGGAGTTGATTAACTCTGGGCTGCAAATCAATATGAAAAGTGGAAAGTATGTGCTGGGATACAGGCAGACTCTGAAAATGGTCATCCTGGCCAACAACTGCCTAGCCTTGAGGAAATCTGAACTAGGGTATTATGCCATCCTGGCCAAAACTGGTGTCTGTCCCTACGGTGGCAATAGTATTGAATTGGGCATAGAACGTGGAAAATACTGTGGAGTATGCACACTGGCTATCATTGATCCAGGTGATTCTGATATAATCAAAGCATTCCAGAACAGACCAATGAAAAGTAAATCATGCAACTTTTTTTTGTTTTAATATAACTGGCCAGAGCGTGTTTAAAAAAAAAAAAAAAAGATTTGAGTAGGTGGAGGGTAGCATATGAGAGGTCAGGTTGTGACATCAATAGGCTTGGGTTTGAATCCTGTTTTGTTCTGTTTTTTATAGTTTATTTTTTAATTTACATCCAGGTCAGTTAGCATATAGTGAAACAATGATTTCAGGAGTAGATTCCTTAATGCCCCTTCCCCATTTAGCCCATCCCCCCTGAATCCTGTTTTTTATCACAAATTACCTGTGTGACTTTGGCGACTTACCTTTGCTAAATGGAAGTTTACTGATCTGTAATGTATGTTTTTGTTCTTAATAATGATCACAGTCCTCGGAAATACTTTGAATGACTAAGTGTTGTTACTACTAATAACAATACACATTATGGATTTGTAAATTGACAGGGATATTGTAGTGAAAAGTCCACAACATTCTGTTCTCAGAAAGTACCAGATAGCAGGTGCTGGGCAGAGAATCTAGTGTGATGTGATGCAGGATGACTGAGTAGATACTTTAGATTGGGTCATCAGGCAGGACCTCTCTGAGCAGATGAGTGTTAGCTGACACCTGAAGGAAGGAGCCATCCATGCTGAGATTAGTAGGAAAACCTTCTAGAGCTTTGTGTCTTCAAGAAACAGAAGAAAGTCCAGTGTGACTCAGCACAGCAGAAGGGTGTTATGACATGAACAGTGTGAGATATACACAGGAGTCAGTCCACACAGTCCTTTGTAAATCACGGTAGGACCTTGGGTTTTATGTTAAGTTCAAGGGGGAAAATCCATTAGAGGTTTTAGTGACATGGTCTGGTTTGTACTTTTTAAATATTGTGGGCTGCTGTGTGGAGAAAAGGTTGTAGTGGGAGGGCAAGAGTAGCAGCAGGACGAGCAGTTAGGAGACTGTGGTAGGGGTCAGCGAGGAGGTAGGGCAGCTTAGACTAGGACAGTAATTTCTAGAGTGAAGTGGATGCATTGGAGATGTGTTTCAGAGGTAGAGTTGATGGAATTTATTCAGAGATTACCTGTGAAGGAATTGGGGAAAGGGAGACACTTAGGGTAATGACCTAGATTTTTGGCCTGAGCAGCTGAAAAATGATAGTTTACTGAGATGGGAAAACTGAGCAAAGAGCAGGTTTGTGGGGGATTAAGTTCTACTGGATTAAGTTCTACATTTTGAGGTATCTATTGAACACTGTATTAGAGTTCCTCAAGCAGTGATTAGCTCTGAGTGAGCAGTAGAACCAACTGTGGCTAACTGAAGCAGGAAAATGCCTTATTGAATCAATGTTTGATAACTCACAAAGTCACCGGGAAAGTTAAGTTTACAAGCTTGGAAAATGGACTGTTCCCAGGGAGATGAGGAGGTTAGAATCACATTGTAGAACCATGCTCTTGCCTCCTGCTGTTGAATTCAGTAGTTTGCTCCCTTATATCATCCCTACCACTTGTATCCATAGCATTAATTCCTCACTGCCCTGGTTCTTTGCATAATTAGCTAAATCTTGAGAGTCCCCAGTAGGTGCATCTGATTGAACCAGGGCACGGGCTGACTGCCAGAAGTGCTGGGGATGCGAATATCTGGCCTTTTAGATTTCTCAAATGAGAAGCAGTCTCCCACAAGACTTACATGGTGAGAAATTTCCTAAACTCTGAAAGGAGAATTCAACATGGAGCAGGAAAACACACACACACACACACACACACACACACACACACACACACACGAATATAAATAACAAATCTGCATTAAAGACCTCCTTGTGGAGATATACAGATGTCAGATAAGCAGCTGGATATATGAGTCTGGAGTTCTAGGGAGAGGTCAGGGCCAGAATATTGATAGGGAAGTATCTGGCACATAGATGGTGTTTAATGCCATGAAGAGGACACTTAGACAAGAGAAAGGGGCTCAGGTTGAAGTCAGTAGGAGAGGAAGAGCCAGCAATGGAGGCTGAGGAGGAGAGACCATTGAGGTAGCAATAAAGCCAGGAGAAAGTGGTGTTTCTTTTAAGACAGGAGAAGAAAGTCTTTCAGGGAAGGAGTGGTCAGCTGTGTCAAATGCTGCTGAGGGGGTGCCTGGCCGGCTGAGTTGGAAGAGTAAGTGACCATTGATCTCGGGGCTGTGAATTTGAGCTCCCATGGGGTGTGGAGATTACATAAATAGATAAACAAAAAATGCTGCTGGTAGGTGAAGGTAAGACATCATAAGACATGAAGACACAAATGGCAGTGCCTTACATTGGTTTTTCAGAATTCTCAAGTATATTACTTCATATCTCAAGTGGTATCATTAACCCATTCAGTAAACAAGCATTATGGAATATACTACATGCCACTACAGTGATACAAAAAGCTTATGGTCTAGAGCAGGGACTCTTAAACTTTAGTGACTATAAGAATATTCTGGAAGTTTTGCTAAAAGACAGATTCTTGGGCTCCATTCCCAGGTGTTTTAGTATCTACTTTTAACAAGCTCCCCTAGGTGATTTTGGTATAGGTATTCCTTGAGCTACACTTTAAGATATTAATTTTATTTTATTTATAAGCGTACAATTTGCTTACTTCCATAAATAAGGCAGCTTCTAAGAAGTATTTTTAATTTAAAAATTAGAATCAAAGGAGACATAAATGAGATAGAAGTGTAAGACCTCTGAATTACACATAACTTTCCAGATGCTGAGGTCCTGAACTACTGACAAAATTGGACCACGTGTTTGACTCTTAATTTCTAGGCAACAAAACCAAAAGATGAAAAAATAAACACACAAATAGGTTAATATTTATCAAAGTCTTACTATATTCTAAACATATATACTTCTATATATGTAAATATACTGTATTCTACATATATTGTTGGGGCGCCTGGGTGGCTCAGTTGGTTAAGCATCCAACTCCAGCTCAGGTCATGATCTCACCGTTTGTGAGTTTGAGCCTGTGTCAGGCTCTGTGCTGACAGCTTGCTCAGAGCCTGGAGCCTGCTCCAGATTCTGTCTCCCTTTCTCTCTGCCCCTGCCCCACTCACACTCTGTCTCTGTCTCTCTCAAAAATAAACATTCAAAAAAATAAAAATATAAATAAATAAACATATATATATATTGTTAAGCATATTTTACACTAGAAGTGTGAATAGATACAAAATACACATTTTCTGTGAGACATCTCAAATTCTCAGGAGAAACAAATGTTTTATCATTTCTTCTTTTTAAGAAATGTATAGGGGCGCCTGGGTGGCGCAGTCGGTTAAGCGTCCGACTTCAGCCAGGTCACGATCTCGCGGTCCGTGAGTTCGAGCCCCGCGTCAGGCTCTGGGCTGATGGCTCAGAGCCTGGAGCCTGTTTCCGATTCTGTGTCTCCCTCTCTCTCTGCCCCTCCCCCGTTCATGCTCTGTCTCTCTGTCCCAAAAATAAATAAACGTTGAAAAAAAATTTAAAAAAAAAAAAAAAAAAAAAAAAAAAAAAAAGAAATGTATATAAGTAATAGTAGTAGTTTATGGATCAAGTGGTATACAATTGATTTACTTAGAATTTCTCATGTAATCTTTAATCCAGTTCAATGAGCTAGAGATTAGCCTTTACCATGAACAGGTAAATGAAGCTTAAAGAGATTAAGGAAGTTTCTTACATTTACACAACTAGTACATGGCAGAGCCAAGATTTGAACCCAAAGTCTGCTTTTAACCACTAATGTCTCTATACAGTGTAGAACATTTAGAAAATAAAGAAAAATATAAAGAATCAAATAAAAAAATCAACCATAGTTCAGCTCCTGTTAGCCACATACTGTTAAGTATGTTCTTTTTTTTTTCCAGTCTTTTTAAAAATAGCTTTAATTTTCTTCTGATTCTAGAAGTAAGTATACTTATTTTAAAAAGCCTTGAAAAGTATAAAGGATGGAACAAAAGTCTATAGTTCTAGCAGCCAATGGTAAACACTTCAATATATTGATATATGTCTTCATAGGCTTGTGTTTATGCTTTTCTATTTACATGTATTTTTTTTCATAACAATAATGGAACCTTATATACATGAAGTTTTGTATCCTTCACAGTATATTGGTGAACTTTTTTTCCATCTTGTTAAGATTCTTTCAAAAGTATTGCTTTTTTCTGGCTGTTTAAATTCCATTTCGCAGTTTTACCGTAATTCAGTCATTCCACTACTGTTGGATATTTAGACTTTCCCTATTGCTGTAAAGCTGTGCTGAGCACAAATATTTGTTGGCAATATGGCAGGAAAACAGACAGTCTCCACTGCTGGTGGTGATTTATGTTGATACATTTTTCTTCAGGTATTAAACAGTTTGAAAATGTTAATGTCCTTTGCAGTAATGCAATTTCTAGGAGTCTCACCAGAGGACCCCAGACTTTTTAATTCTTTTCCATGCTTTGAACTGTCTTTTCCTTAGGATCTAAACGCTCTTCCCACAGCAATGCTTATTTTTATGGCTTCTTCAAGAACAAGCGCATAGTTTTGTTTGACACTCTACTAGAAGAGTATTCTGTACTAAACAAAGCCATCCTGGAGGAGTCTGGCATGGAAGCCCGCAAAGATGGAGAAGGGGACAGTGAAGAAATAAAAGCTAACGTTAAAGTGAGTTTTTCTTTTCCTAAGAGGCCCTGGGCTCAGTTTTTATAAACAGTTACTATGACAGCTCAGAATAATATCAGTTTCTGTGCAGTGAGTGGTGAATTAAAGGAGACTACCAAATAAGAACACTGTGGCACCTTTATAATTCTGGTATTTGGGAGAGACTATCACTATTATTACATGCTAACTACCTCTCAAGCTTTTATAGAATGTACACATGGAAATCGGAAGTGTAAGACAGGAAAATTCTTATGATTATAAGCTGTCTTTAAAACAGGACTTCATATATATTCTTGATATGTTTATGATCAAAGACTTCCCACAGGTAGGCCAAAGAGGAGATAAACATTTGATTTTTACCTCATTGAGATGCAGAAATGATAGGCTTGGCAATGGAGAGACTTGGATTTGAATCCTGGTTCTGTCATTTAGTAGCTGTGTGTCCTTGGGTACACTATATAATGTGGTTGGCTTTCTTTTGTTTGTTTGACAAATATTTATGAAACCTGTATTCTGTGCTGAGATACTTTGCCTGGCACTAGAAATGCAAAAATAAAGAGGGAAGATCTCAAGAAGCTTGTGATCTGAAGGGGAGAAACATAATTTTAACAGTGAAGCTATGTATACTGAATGCAGGGGGAGCACAGGAGAAGACATGTCTTAAATCTGACTTGAGTCTCAGAAAGCTTTTTCGGGGGGCTCCTGACTGGCTCAGTCAGTAGAGCATATGACTCTTGATCTAAAGTACCAAGACTAACTGGGGGAAGAAGGGACAATGATAAGAAACAGCACAGTTTTAATCAGGAACAGCCAGCAGTATTTCTATATGTATTGGAATATGCTATTGGCCTTGGTGTCATTCAGAGATGATTTTGGTTCTGTATAACTCTAGGCAATATGTTAAGTTCTCTAAATCATTGATCATTGATCTGTCTCTCTTTTTTTTTTTTATTAAGTTTATTTATTTATTTTGAGAGAAAGAGTTGGGAGGAGGGGCAGAGAGAGAGGGAGAGAATCTCCAGCAGGCTCTGACATGGGGTTCAAACTCACAAACCATGAGATCATGACCTGAACCAAAATCAAGAGTTGGACCCTTAACCAACTGAACCATGCAGGCGACCCTAGATCATTAATTTCTTTTTTTTTAAGTTGATATATTTTGAGAGAGTGAGCATGCACGTGTGTCATGTGCACAAGACGGTGAGGGGCAGAGAGAAGGAGAAACAATCCCAAGCAGGCTCTGAGCCATCAGTACAGAGCCTGGTGCGGGGTTTGAACTCATGAACTGTGAATTCTTAAACTGAGCTGAGATCAAGAGTCAGATGCTTAACCGACTGAGCCACCCAGGCACCCCTGAATCATTGATTTCTTAATTAAAAGATGCTGCTACAGGGTTTCTCACCTTGGCACTATTGACATTTTGGGCCAGGTGATTTTTATTGTGGGAGGGTATCTTGTGCATCATAGGATATTTAGCAGCATCCCTGGCCTTTCCCCACTACATGCCAGTATCAACCTTCCCTACCACCAACACCTGTTACAACTGAAAATCTCTCCAGACATTGCCAGATAGCCACTGCGGGCAGGGCTTGGGGGGCAAGAACTAGGAAACTAGTTGGGAAACTAGTTCCTAGCAGAACTAGGAAACTAGTTGGGAAACACTGGGCTGAAGCTGCCTGCCTTTAGGGCTCTGAGGATTAAATGAAATGATATAGGTGAGATACTTTGTACTCCATATTATACATTCTAACTACTAGGAAATATTATGATTTGAACATACATTTTGATCCTAAAAAGACAGTCTAATAAAGTGGCCTTGCCTGTTATAAATATGTACACGGGGCAAGATTCTGTGAAGGGATTAATAGCATTGGGAGAGGGTTAACTCCTGTAATTTAGCTTATTTTTGAAGTAGGGTTATCCTGCCGGTTAGGATGTTGGAATAAAAGTCACTTTGGTTTGACCAAGAGTCAGGATTTTAAGCTAAGAAGAGATCTTAAGGTTATGTCATCAGTAGGAACACTGAAGTCCAGAAAGGGTAACTCGGGGACAGCACGAGGGAATCATGCAAGGTCAGCAGGTCACTCTGCTTAAGAGGTACCCACATCCAGGGATGAGGAACAGGGGTAACATTATAGCCAAACCATGATGTTAGATAGTGGCCCACTGATTTCAAACAGTGTGATGAAATTACTGATCTTTAGTATCTAGGAGAACAGTATTCTTTCTTTCTCCTCTTTCTAGTATTTCTCCTATTTCTAGGAGAACAGATTCTTTCAGTAAATCTTAAAAAAGATTAGATAGTCTTTTGAAATGTGTTGAGTGGAGTCTCTGAGTTATTTTGCTGGCTTTTTTTGCTTTATTTCATTGATAACTACAAATATTTTAGCATATGTGTATAAGTTACATGATTAAAATACTTTAGACATAGTCCTGAAGAACCTTTAGTGGAAGAGACTAGCCCTGTACACAAATAGCCCATAAATTAAAGCAGAGTGTGGTAAACATCATGAATGGCCGGAATAGTGTGGCTTTTAGAAATTAAGAGGTTAATGAGGATTCTAATAGATAGTTTTCTTCTTTTTTTAAAAAAAATTTTTAACGTTTATTTATTTTTGGGAAAGACAGAACATTAGTGGGGATGGACAGAGAGAGAGGGAGACCCAGAATCTGAAGCCGGCTCAGGCTTTGAGCTGTCAGCACAGAGCCTGACGTGAGGCTTGAACTCAGGAACCATGAGATCATGACCTGAGCCAAAGTCAGACGCTCAACCAACTGAGCCACCCAGGCGCCCCCTAGTAGACCGTTTTCTTGACCGAGAAGATATTTGAACTAAGCAGAATTTTGACTTGGGAATGGGGCTTTTCAGGTCAAAGTTATGAAATGAATAAAATGATACAGACATAAAAACTACACACTGGCTCTTCTAAGACTAATGATTAAATGTATTCTTATAGATGGGGACGGAAAGGTACACTGGGACCAGTTTGTAAAATTCTTCCTGAAGATGTTGAGTGGTTGTCTCCAATGGCCAGGAAGGTTGATTTGGGTAGAAGCCAAAGCTTGCTTTAGGAAGATTACAATTTGGTGGCAGCATATAGGATAGAACAGATTGGAGGCAGAGAGACTTCTGGGGCCTAGTGCATCAAGGTAAGCATGAAATAAAGAGAGTCTGCATAGAGTGAGAGGTCAGAATAAGTTCAAGAGTCACAACAAAAGATGGATTTAAAGTACCTGGTGATTGTGCTTGTGGGGAGTGAAGGAAGTCAAAGATTGACTCAACACAGAGAAAGACAAATACCTTATGATTTCACTCATATGTGGAATTTAACAAACAAAACAAACAAGCAAAGGGGAAAAAAGAGAGACCGACAAACAGACTCTTAAGTATAGAGAACAAACTGATGGTTCCCAGAGGGGAGGTGGCGTGGGGATGGGAGAAATAGGTTAAGGGAATTAAGAGCACACTCATCATGATGAGCACTGAGTAGTGTATAGAATTGTTGAATCACCGTATTGTGCACCTGCAACTAATACAACACTCTGTGTTAACTATACTGGAATTAAAATAAAAAACTCAGTAAAGAAAAAAACAAAGATTGACTCAACACTCATTAACTGCAGTGCTTTCCAGTGTATGTGCCATACTATTTTAGGGAGTATATTAGTATTTTAAATTTGAATAGCTGTGTCTTTATTAATGTATATTAGGACAATGATAAAACTAGCATATAGTGATTTCATAAATATTGTCATTTAGGACAAGGCTAAGTTTTAAAAAGTGAATTGGTTTAGAGAAAGCTATTGAGTAAATAATCACATAGAGAGTACACAGATGTAGCAGAAGTTTAGGAAACAGTGGTTTAGTCAGGACCTGCTACTGAACAACTACTATGTACAACACATGGGGGGGGGGGGGCGCGTTCAATCTGGATGAGGTGGAGAAAATGAAGCATTTCATTTTCAACAGAAGTTTAAAGGAGAAAACTAAGTTATCTGAAATCCCTTCTCTCAGGGAGAGCTAGTACATTTTGATGAATATTTCCATACTGGTTATTAACATTTAAAAAGATGTCTAGGAAACTTGACTCTAGGATTTTACCCTTCAGGAGACAAAGAGAATATTTGGAACAACCTGTCTCAAAAGTAGTTTAAAAGGAAAAGTAAAACTATAGAAAAGCTGCCCCTTTGTAGAAGAAAGTATTTCCCAGCAAGGGTAGGGTTATGTTCAGTCTTCCCAGTTAGTAAGAGTAAATGGAAAGTGCACAGGCTTTAGAGATATGGGTTCGGGTTTTACCCACGACATACTAGCGAGATGGTCTTAAGACATTTAAAAAAAAATTTTTTTTTTTTAATGTTTACTTTGGACGCAGAGAGAGATAGAGCATGAGTAAGGGAGGGGCCAAAAGAGAGGGAGACACAGAATCCACAGCAGGCTCCAGGCTCTGAGCCGAAGTCAGATGTTCAACCGACTGAGCCACCCAGGCACCCTGATCTTAAGACATTTTTAATTTCTCAGCTACCTCTTCTTTATCTCTAAAATGAAGATAATATTCCTCTCCTGCCCAGTTTGGTGGTGTTGGGATCAAACGAGTCAGTGTATGAATCCTGTGAAAAAGCAAGTGCTATAGAAAGTGGTGCTTCTTTCTGTTCTGTTCTGTGAAATTAGTGTGGGAAGAAAAGAAAATTCAGTTTTGTCTAAGAATCTGTCACAAAAAAACAAGAGTCCGTTAGTGGACCCTGTTTAAGCTCTTTTCATTCCGTATCTTTGAATGTGACTCTGTGCACTTCTAAGTAGCTTCCTAGTAGTACGTGAGTGACTCGGCTGGTTAAGCGTCCTACTCTTGATTTCGGCTCAGGTCATGATCTCACTTTACGTGAGTTCGAGCCCT